TTTTTTTTTTTTTTTTTTCCTCCTTTAAAAACGAGGCACCTCCGCAGCAAAGCGTTCCTGCAAATCCACCAGCACTCTCACACCGGCCATGGAGCAAGTAGGCGCTCAGGTGTTAAAAGCAGAGCTGTGGCATGTGTTTGCTGTTGTGCTGATGACCTAAAGCCCCCGCTCCTCTTGGACCAGTGGACTTCACTGCCCCAGTTTGTAGGCTTGTCGTCTCAATGTTGCGGACCATATTTGAAGCGGAGTGTTCTCTCTCTCCCACAGAAGGGATCCTGGGGAAGGAGCAGCCACTGGAGGTTCTAAAGACATCTGCGCTCAACCACATCCCAACAGGTTGGTGTGTTTATACTGTTTGTGTATGTGTCAGCGTGTGCCTGCGTTTGTGGCTGCTTCTGTACAGAAAAGCTTCTGAACGTGCTTTTACTATCAACTGCCTCCTGTGTGACTTTGCATCCGTACTGTAGGTGTTTCTTTCACAATTTAAGATCTAATCCCACTTTGAATACAATTCCCCGTGTGTTTGCAGCAAAAATACACATGGGTTTGCACGGTACTTAGAAAAGGACTCCACACTTTTACCATCTTATATCAAACTTTGATATTGTCTAGATAAAAAAAAAGCAGCGTCTTTAATGTAGATGCTTTGTTTGTGTGACTGAGGTTGTTGGTCTCAAGAGACAAAGCTTCCCAAAAACACTGCACAGCAAACAGTCAACTGCTTCTTGGTGTGTGTGCTTCAAGTTCCTGACCTGACATGTCCTAGCCCCAAACTGAAGTAGAGCAGCAGGCAGTGGTCACAGGTCAAGAAAGGTGTGCATTCTGTTGAGTTCAGGATCCGCGTTGAAAGTTTTAAGATTTTGGATGTAATGAAAGTGATGAGTTACTGCCACACGGCTCTGTTGTTGTGAGTGTATTGTTGAAACATGTTGTTTTGGAAGAACATTAGGCCAGAGACACTCAACTGAGTGTTGTTAGGTGACTTAAGGTTCTCATGTCAATCATTAGTTGCTATGATAATGTATATAAATACACACTGGCCTAGCAGTGCCAATGCCAAACCACCGTGTGGCGGCACATTAGTGTGTTGTGAGACATCATCAGGTGAACCATGAAGAGCTGATCTATTCCACTCAATTGGTCTTAAAATGATTATTTATTTGTTGCACATCATTTGCCTTTGTTTATCTGTGTTCATCTGGTGACAGGCGGAACAATTGATAATCTTCCACTAGGTGGGGAAAAATGGCTTCAAAACTTTCCTGTGAGTGTATCAGGATTGTGTTTAACTTGACAGGCTCAGGTTTCACGCTGAGTAAATACATTGTGAGAAAATCGAGACTAAAAAAAAGGTTTTATTTCATTAGATTTTGGGAGATGTTTCATCTGGCGGTGCACTGTGGCATATGTCATATGCAAAATATGTGCTGTAAAAAAAACCCTGAACTAGTGGAGGTTGAGGTTGACTTTAAAAGGGGACTCTGTTGAGCTGCTGTTTCTGGACAACAATATGTATACATTCATCAACCCTATTTTCTTTGTCTCAAAGATTTGGTCAGCATGTTCTGGCCCTCAGTGATGAACTGTAACGATTTTATGAGGAGGAGACGGTGTAAATTAATCTGTATTGTAATTATGGGCTGTTTGTAAATAGTGCAGAGCGAGGAGCAGAGATAGAGATGAGGTTATCCGAAGGAGAAATGAGTCTGAAGTCAAATATGAATAATACATCATTTAATACTGAGGAGGTGAAGCTCAAGTTGCTCCGCTCTCTTTTATTTTGGGACTTTTCTCTTTTAAAACTAATGAAAATAGAAAAAGACTGATTCATTATTTACACCCTGTGCTGCTCTGCACACATGGGTGATTTCACAGAGTGGCAGGAAAGAGGCAGGTGCTCAGTCAGCGTACAGTTGTAGAAATTGCATCTTTCAACGTTTCCTTGTAAACACAGATTTGATGCTCTTTTTTCTTCCGTCTCCGTCTCATCTTTAGTCATCTAAGGCTTCAAATGTTCTCTAGTGTCGCTGGTTGTGGTTGTGTATTTGCTGGAGTTGATGCACCTCCACACTCTGTACCTCTGTGTTGGTTGCATTCAAGGAGATATTGTTTTCCTAAGATGCAAAGTAGGAGTCCCAGCACCTGCCGACTGTTTTATGAGTCAAAATAAACTCCTGACTTTGCCTGTACTCAAAGCACCAATGGGTTTTCAACATGCCACAGCGTGTGGATTTCTCTTTTCTAACCAGTAGTTTTGTCTCTTGCCGTGGTTTTGCTTCAACAAAACAAAGTTATACCAGTGGTAGAGCTCAATTTAAATGTTGATGCTTGATCTCCAAAACCTCAACAAAACCATGTATTTAGTGTATCATGTTTCTCATTTATTTTACTATCACACAGGATTTGAAACAAAACACATTTGGTCATGCAACAACTCAAATAAATATGTTAAAATGCTCATTCTTGGTTTTTGACTTTAAGAATTTCAGAGGTAGTTGTCAAAAAGCTGGCTTTCCTCAATTCAGGTCAGGATTAGGTTTAAAAGAAACATCAGAGAAAGTCTGCAAAGGAACTTTTAAAACATAGGAATGTCTGCCCAACTGAAGTGTAATCATGTAATCTGTACATATTGGTATCGGTTTTTCTTCAGATGATGAAGATCTATGGCTAGTTGTACAAGGAGTTGTGCTGTGAATCAGCGTCCGTTTACTAGAAGTTGTACATCTTTGGTGATAATTCCTTTTAGCAATTTATAAGGACCCATCTGCTGGTGACGTCTGGTAACACACTTCAACATTACACATCAACACTGAACCTTCAATAGTTCCTATTTAATTTCCCTTGGAGGCACAGAGATCAAAGTTTGTAATTTCAATGATTGTTACCCCTGGACGGACGATGGATGGATGATTGTCTTAGTAATGGACCATGGCTGTTTATAAAGTGTTTGAGTTTTTGTTTACATTCTTTGTAGTCGGTACCACATACAAATACCCTTCATATTTTTATAGTACTTCATAGTGCAGTTAGTAAAATGCTGTAGTTGCCAGTCACATTGTACTGAATTGTTAGAAGATGACATTTCAGTTCATACTGAAACTCAACCATGAGCTAGGAAACAGAGCGCGTTACAGAGAAGCAACATAAAAGTCACGTCATTATACATGACTCTGATCCATGGCCCGTCTGTTGGGGATCTTTTTCATTTGAAAACTCTCCCAAAAGCAGCACAGCTGTAGCTTCAGGACCCCCACTAGTCAATAGGAATTGACTTGCATTTACACCTCTACAGCTGTTCCTCTTCATGTTTCTGACTTGCATTTACACCTCTACAGCTGAGACGCTGGCGATCATTGCCCTGATGTCACTAAAACCGCGACGAGTCCGAGCTTGCGTTCGGCAGAACAGGACTGATCACGTCAGGCCCTCCTTGCTGTTTTTATTAGAGGTCACAGAACCATTCCAGAGCAAGACTTCAATCAGTCTTTTCTCTTAGCTGGTAAATAAGAAAAGCTCTTAACATTCAAGCAAAGCAGCAGAGCGGGTCACTGTGAGAAGAAAGGTAGGTTGGCACTTACCCATCTGCCCCAGAGACCAATCTGGAATCAGACTGCAGCTAATTCTCTCCTCCGTCAACAGATGTGCTACTTGTAGTGTCTCGTGCCGCCGTGTCGTGAAATCCTGTATGGAAAATCCTCTCAAATCTTTCTCATCTCTTTGCATGGTTTTCTAGTTAGAACGCATCACACACGTTTTCCAGCTCTGTATGAAATCTATTAAGACTAACGAGTGTGCAGCTCAGGCATTTAGACCGTGGGATATACACTAAGCACACCGAGTCTCAAATCAGAGACGCCAGCCCTCTGCATTGTCTGGTATAAATAGATCCGCAATTGGATCCAGAAGAGTTGTGGAGTGTGCCCGAGGGGTTGTAAACAGATTGTGATTTGTTTCAGGAAGATGGAGGGAAGAAGGGAGCTACTGAGTGGGCAAGAACGCAGAGGAAGGCCAGTGAGAGGATGGTGGCTAAAGATGAGCAGACAAAAGAAAACAATTAATCTGAAATAATCTGTCTTTGCTTTTTCCATGGAGATTCCGTCTCATCCTGAAAAAGTGGAACACTATCACACTGTAGAAGCTTAAATGAAAGAGCGACAATGAAGGGAAATATTTTTCAAACAAACGTTTTGATGCCAGTTAGGCTTCAGATGCTGTTGTGTTTTATTCAGGTAGAGCTGACAGGTGTGGATGGTTTCTGCGAACTCCTCTTGTCGCTCCTCAGATGGAGCAACCGTCTTTGTTTTGGCTTTCTCTTAACTGACAACATGCTGTCCTCTATCTTTCACACATCAGTAAACAGTGGGACGTGTTTGACGTCACTCCTTGTACACAAAGATGTGTTGATAACAGAGTTAATTCCAGTCATTGGCGACTTACAGGACTGACTCTGTAATGATGCACATTACTTAGTATCTGGCAGAACAGGCAAAGGAAAAAGGAAGAATACAACAATGTGTGAAAAGTTGGGGTTTTTTTTTTCTATTCTTAGAAAGGTCGCGGTATTGATCACGATGTTTTCTTCTGAGCTCACCGTAGACCGACCAAATACATTTCACTAAGTCAACGATGACATGCAACAAGTTAATTCACGGGTTATTTTGAATCATACACCAAATATGTTGAAGTACATTTATTCTGAATCAAATATAAGCATTTAAAGCAAAGGGCCAGCATGAAGTCAGTGACTAGAGAGCTAAATGGAATCTTGCCACCAGTAATTTCAATATTTTACCATATTGACACGTAAAAGCAGAGATCAATTTTTACAGTTTTACAGATGTTAATTTTTGTGTGTGTTTGACTGAATTTTTAGATCTCAACACGGACGTTCTGTGCTGCCGGCTTGGTAATTGGCAATTTATTTGGGAAAATTCCAGACAGGGAATTCATACCACGTGGTAATAAACCGCAGGAGAGAGGGGAAGAAGAGAAAAACAGAGTGAGGAGGGATGCAGATGGGTAGTGGGAGGAGGAGGAGGAGGATTCCAAACTAGCATAAAGCCTTTTTCTCGCTTCTAGAAGCAAAGAAAGCAGGTAGAGCCAGGGAGAAAGAGAAGTGTGTGTGTGTGAGAGAGAGAGATAGAAAGAGAAAGAGAGAAAGAGAGAGGGTGAGTGAGACGTTGGTTCCTGGAAAAGCATAGGGCTGCAGAATAAACAGGCTGCATGCCTGAGACTGCCCTGTGATGTCACCACTGGGCAAATGAGGGACAAGGGGAGGAGTAAGAGAGGGAGAGGAGTAGAGTGAGGAGAGAGACGCCCTGTCAGGTTAAAAGCTG